CTCCTATCTTAGTTATGAGATAAAAATCTTTAAATGTACTTTGATATAAAGATACCTTACCATTTTATTCTCTGAGTAATGTTGATTACTAAGGTTCGCTTAAGTGAAAGTCTGAGTCTTGAAAGCGAAATTCCTCGTGACACAATACGTTGTTCCTATTAGTCTAACTTCTTTCATAAGTTGCAGAGTTTTGTCTACCTAAAATAGTCATAAACATTAATTATCTCTTCTAGGTTGAAGCATCCCATTTATTTTTCTATTTCTCTTTGGAGAATCCGTGACATATTTGGTAAAATTATAAGCCAGATGTTTTGCAGGTTCAGCTTTACTTTGGCAACTCACGAGAGAAAAAAGATGGGAAGTGAAAAAAAAAAATCTCTTAAAAGAAAAGAAAAACAAAAAAGCAAAACAAAACACCTTCAAACAAACCGAAATGATAGAAAACATGTGTCAGTCGTTAAATTGTTCCTTTCAGGTGAATTATCCGCCCGAAGAAAAACGAGAGACCAACAAAGAAAAAATATTGAACGATCCTCTATACTTTATTTAATTTTCTGCTTGTATGACTCTAAATATACATCACAATTGTCTTCATCCGGTCAAGTCCACAGTTAGCTTTTGGAAACAGTAGCAATCTAAAGAATTCATTGAATTCCTTCATACTTTTTTTTTTTAATCATTTCACCCCAAGCAAGGAGATAGCGCCACTAAAACACAAGGGGTTACGGAGTGTGAAATAATCTAAAAAAAAACATTATTAAAGCATAGAGCTTGTGGCTGCATCTAGCAATTTGAACTGTAAAATGATGAGAGCTAGCTGCCAATCTACGACTGCGCTTAAATTCATAAAGTCTATGTACCAAAGGGGAAAGCTCATCAAAAACATTTACTATGAAAATGTTTATAGAAAAGGCAAAAAGCTACGTTACGGCGATGGGAAAGTGACTGAAGCCGAGATGTCAGGTCAAGGTCAATAACATTACACATTCTTATACATAAACACCAGCAATATTCAATGCATAGACGAATGGTAGACTTATAAATTTTGTAATAGATTCTGGCGAGAAAAATTGTCTAGTAGTGAACTAGATATCTATGTTATCTTGAAATGTTTTACATTAAGTAGGAACAATTTCTTCTGAAGCAATGACTGCAAAAAGCCAGATGGAACCTAACAATCGAAAATACATGCAGATGATTCACAGAAATAGCTGAAGAATGAAGAATAAAATTAATAGTGATTACTAGGGTCATTAGTCTTAGATGTCATTTTTCGAAATAAAAGCAAGAAGAAGCAAAATATATTAATAACTAAGTTAAGTATTATCAGATGTAAAACTCCTTTTCAACCTGCTTAGCTGTGATTTTAGCTTTGGTAATCCTTTTCTCTTTAGTTGTCCTCTTGACAGATGGCATTCATCTACATTCATCTACGACTATTTCATTAAGAATTTTGGATATACACCCAAATTTAACAAAGCGGAAATATTTTTTTCTATTGAAGGGACTACAACAAATGAGTTTTTACACTGATCCTTATTACATATTTTGCAGTTGTTTTTTGAGAGAAGAATGTAAATTATTATTAAAAGTAAAAGAAAAAAAAATCTTATGTAGATTTCAGAGTACATTGATTTGAGAGATAGAGGGAAAAGGAAATGGTAACAGAATAACAAGAGAGAGTTGGTGGGGGACAAATGTAGTAATGTGATTATAGACAATGTCGGAACAAACATACGAGAACTAGGCAATGAAACGGATGAGTGGTGGAAGATACAGGAGCAGGGCGCCGGGATGGGCACAGAGCTACATTAGAAGGGTACCGAAACGGACCAGTAACAGAGCTACATTAGAAGAGTACCGAAACGGACCAGTAACAGAGCTACATTAAAAGGGTACCGAAACGGACCAGTAACAGAGCTACATTAAAAGGGTACCATAACGGACCAGTAACAGAGCTACATTAGAAGGGTACCGAAACGGACCAGTAACAGAGCTACATTAGAAGGGTACCGAAACTGAACATTTACAGAGTTACATTAGAAGGGTACCGAAACGGACCAGTAACAGAGCTACATTAGAAGGGTACCGAAACGGACCAGTAACAGAGCTACATTAGAAGGGTACCGAAACGGACCAGTAACAGAGCTACATTAGAAGGGTACCGAAACGGACCAGTAACAGAGCTACATTAGAAGGGTACCGAAACGGACCAGTAACAGAGCTACATTAGAAGGGTACCGAAACGGACCAGTAACAGAGCTACATTAGAAGGGTACCGAAACGGACCAGTTACAGAGCTACATTAGAAGGGTACCAAAACGGACCAGTTGCAGAGTTACAGGAGAAGGGCGCTGAGGCGAGCTTCTTGCTGAGATACAGAAGAAAGGAGGCGTGGAGACGGACCGAACGCAGGGACATAGGAACAAGGCGCTGAGACGAACAGACCAGTGGCGTGATACAGGATTCGTGTATAAGCGAAAGTAACGGTGGCCAAATACAAGGATGTGTGACGTCATTTTGTATGTATATATATTAATCGGGAATTAATGTTTACGTGGCTAGATCTGCATAATTGTCGGTGATAGCTTAATTGGTAAGGCAGCCGTTATTTTATAGCGGATTTGCTGAAAAAAGTAACATGCATTTATGTCTTGTTGAAATGCTTTTCTTTATTCCGATCTACTTTGAATTACTAATGACTGAATTATGTCGGTATGAAAGTAGTTATAAAAAGTAACTGAAGTTAATTGATTGAATTTTTTACGACTTTGTAGGTTATTTAAAGCCGAAACATATTTTGGATTGAAGGAGGTTCCCCTATGTACCCTGTATTCCCAAGCCATCCCCGCCTCAGAATTTAAGATGAAAATCATACTTGTCAGGGAGAAATTAATAGAATAAAATAACCCTAGTATTTTTCAACCGGAATGGTTATTTCCATTCTTACTCCATGTATCTTAGTTAAAATACTGTTATGTTCCGTGCTAATAGAAATATATACTTCAAAAACACGGTGGATAAATAAATAAAGGTTTATTGTAAAACAGTTATGCGTACGATCGTCGCAAGTCAATCCAGTAGTGAGTGCTGCTATTGGAAGATCGGTAGTTCTCGCGTAAGTCTGAGTCGTACACAATAGATCACAGCAAGACTCCCTGTAGTCCGTTGCCTTACGGATACTTATAGGTAGTTACTACCTATAGTGTAGTTACTCATGGGGGTGACTAGTTATTCCATTACATCAAATACCCACTCAACAAAAAGCTAGATTTCATCATTTCTAAGACAAATTAAATCTATTTAGCATAAATAATGGTTAAATTGATTGCTAAATAACTCATCCACTATCTACAAAATGAAAGTGGATGCAATTGGAGGAAATATTTATTCTCATTCGAATGAATTAAAAATCTTCAAAACGAAAGAGAATGAAAATTTCGAATGACAAAGAAGAGCTTTTGGTACTTCGGCTTTAAAGGATTTATAGTAAAAAAACGAAACCAATCTGTTTTAGGCTGAGTTGTTCAAGTCTTTTAAAGAGCTGTTTTTATAAACGAACGTGGTGTTTAAAAATAAAAATATATGAAATTATGTATCTGCCAGGTACACAAATTATTTTTGAGGAATCTTAATTTAAAAAGATTCTACAATTTTAAAGAATATATTTAATTCCATGAAAAATAAAGGGTGACATTTGCAAGGGTTGTTGTCTATTGGATTCACCTGAAGTATATACATAATTCTCAAAACAGTAATTACGCAATCAAGACGCCAGATTTGTACATGAATTTTTGTGTTTCTAGGATTATCATTTACGATAATGATGTTGCTATTATAATATACAGAGTTGGTCTTCATTTCTTTTACAATTGTCTATGGGTGAAAGGTAATATTGATTCCGGCCATTAAATTGGAACTTCGTTATTAGTTAAAGCTTCGTAAACCTAAACCAATTCTAAATGCTTGTTAATTAAAAATTAATTAATTGTTCTCCAATTTTTTTTCAATTTCTTAAATGAAAAGTCGAAAGGACGTACCGGTCCAAAAATATTTGTCCGGCGTGAACAATGGCAGACAACAATAGGCGCTAAAATTGCTACACTTGGAACATTTGAAAATATGCTATTAACAGTCCTGCGGAGCAATCATATAATTACACAATATCTAGAAGACATTTCATAAGTGTAAAGTGCGACAGCGAAGTCAGAAGGCACATTGGGATAGCGAAAGATGACATCCAAAAGCTAAGCAAAGTATTAAGAAACAGGAAAATTTCGTTGGATACAAGAAAGAAGTACTGAACTGTTATTTAATGTCAGTCTTTCTCTATGGCAGCGAATGCTGGACAATCTGACTTGAAACAACAAAAATATTGTTCTACAGAAGGATGTTGAGAATACTATGGATTAAATATGTGAGAAAGGAAGAAACAAAAATGATGCTTATACTTAGCATTAGAAAGAGAGTTGAAATTTCTATGGCACATAATGAGGAAAGATAGCTTGGAAAATTTGACACTCACAGGACATATTGTATGCAAGTGGGACAGATGAAAACAGTGCATAACCAACCTAATGACCTTGTGTAAATTGATGGCAGAACAGGTTTTAGGCGTGACAGCAAAGGGACAAAATTTGTTAAGGGCTACAAAAAAAAAAACAGGAAGATGTGGAGAGCCATGATCGCCAACGTCCTGAAGGGATATGGCACGAAGAAGAAAGAGAATGGATTTCTGTATAGATCATTCATTGCTCACATCTGTGGAAGCAGAAAGGATATTGATACCCATTCTTTGTGTAAATATTTTTACGTTTACTTTGTAATAGAAGAAAAGTATGTGAGAAATTGGTGGAATATTTCGTGTGACATAGAAACCAATATTTGAAACTTAAATTCGCAATTTTCGCGTTCGTTATTTTTTTTTAATACAAATACATAATCGCTATTTTTCAACTTTGAATCAATGCTAAACTCATCATTTCTTCTATTAATCATTCTTACGGCCATATCACATTGCAACACCGGTTCTCGCCCGATCATCGAAGTTAAGTATCTTCAAGACTGATCAGTGCCTAGATGGGTGACCGCTGGCAAATACCAAGTGCTGAAAGTTTGGATGTGCGGATAGTATAATAGATAACGGCACAGAATTGGAAATCGGAGAACTGAGTTCCAATTCCAGTCGGGTTTCGTTATATTCACTTACACGCAAATACCCTTGGGAAATCCACCTCTTCTCCTCCCAGCTATGGGTTAATTAGTAGAACCTTTATCAGTAAAAAATTATTATCCCCATCCCAATTATTTTACAATCTAAAATTATTTCCTGGCTTTAAATAACCTGAAAAAGACATCTATCTGTAGTGAGTGCGAAATACTCTCTTCATCCGCTACTTTTAAATTCGGAGGACTAAGGAAAAAGAAGGAAAGGAATTCGTGAGCCTATGTAAAATTTTCCTTCGACCAATGAAAACCTTGTTTTCACAGAAATTGACCGATGAGCTGAAAAGTAGGAGGAAAGAAATTCGCGAGTCTACGTGTAATTTGCTATTGGATCAATGAAAACGTTGTTTTCACGGAAATTAGCCGGTCAGCCAGGAAGAAAAAAAAATTTAACGAGCCTATGCGAAATGAGAAGAAAAATTAAATTATTAAGAGGAGAATGTCTGAACTCATGTGAGAGGCACCGTTTAAGTTCCCCCTGGCCTTTATTGAAGTTCTTGTCAGCGTAAAATTATTCGCTACGGCAATTCAAAGAATTTTCTATCAGGAATCCAAAAAAGCTAAGTATTTCAAACTCTCTTCGTCTACTTTTGAACGTATGCAACCGTATATCCATTCTGTGAACAACAAATTCTCTTAACTTTGTTTTAAACATTTTTTTCATATTAGAAACTACGGACTTTAGAAATTTTTGATTTATTTATCGAAACGAGCTACTAACACAACTTCTAGCGTGTAAATACATAAATAAATTCCTTATTTTGTTAAAATAATGTTTTCTCATCATTATCATCCTCCATTTATCTTCTTGGAGTGGGTAGATCAAATGTTCCTTTTAATCCCTAAGCCCCACACCACTATAAATCAATCTTGTATTGAACAACCAAATTATATAAGACCAACACACAAACTATCCGCTGTAGGCATATTTTTAATATAGAAATATAACTTTCATGTTAAAACCTTAAAATCGTTTGAATAAATATTTAAAGTATTTCAATATGTATTATAAAACAGGTAATTCTATGTCTGTCACACAATGTCTTTGTGTAACTTTGCAAGCGCATATCTTATGAGTCTACTTATGTCTGTTGCGTGTCAGCAACTTACATATGACCGTACCATTTAATGTATAGACACACAATTTGACTAAGTTTGAAATAAGACTTTGGAATAATACATTCTTCTCTCGCTCAGTCTGGACAACTCCTACTCTGGGCTTAGCAATAAAACCATTAAATTGAAAAAAAAAAAAAAAAAAAGGAAGGAAAAAGAAACCTAATTAGATAATTAAAACGTTTCATTTATCTTGTTGGAAATTATTCGTCAATGAACAAAATTTTTTTAATGATTAAAAAAAATTGTAGAAGTATTTTTGTTTTAGCATTGAATTAAAATATACCTGCGGACAGGTAAAAATATACACAAAAATAATTTGACTGGAAATGAAATAGAAATCTTTGTCCCGAGAGCTAAGTTCCCTTTCTTTCTGTCAAGGACACATGACATAGTGGATAAAGGCGTTGGTTAGATCCAGTGAGAGGACCCAAAAGTTGTGAGTTCAATACCTTGTTAAAGCAGTGGAGAACTTGGAGAGGGGAATTAACAGGAGATAACTAATAACTGACATCCATTAGACATGGCACGTGGAACTAGAACAGTCTACCCCAGCGAGCGAAATAAAGGGTAAGGTTCAACATTCCAACCACCTGAAGAAGGCCGGAGCGTACATCGGCCGAAACGTTGTGATAACTATGGTAACAAAGATGAGGACAATAGTCTGAATAATGTGAATAGAATAACAGGAAAGTTCATAAACCGAAATGTGCAACCATTTAAAGTTATTTTATTGACATCTGCATTGAAACTGAACATGATATATAGATTATATAATATCTTAAATATTTACATTTGAAATTTGACCATCAGCAATACGACAAATACCGAACTACTTACTCCTCATTTTAAGTTCATTCTTTTTAGCCTGTAAGGAGTTTCGAGTGGCCTAATAGTTTACGGTCGGGTTAAAAGAAATGAGTTCAAACACCGGCTGCAGAGTGTCCGTAAAGGCATGAACTTACTTCTTCGCCCAGATGTGGATAAATAGTTGCACAATATAAACCCGTAAGGTACTTCATCTCGAGCATCAGATAATAGGTAAAATCAGAGATTATTTCTTGCAGCTCGTACCATGTAACTCAGTGCAGCCTGGCGCATGTTACTTCGAGAGGAACTGGCATAACAGAGTGATCGACACTGCTCAGGGATATTGTCACGAAGGGGAAATATTTAGTATGACATCCTGACAATTTAATAGATCATGGGAAACGTCTACGTCCATTCAGTCCTCGTAAATGATATACCGCAAATGTTTCTTTTCCTACGAAACACTGGAGAAGTTAATTGAACTGGGGACGATTGAAGTGACTTGAAAATAATTGAAAATTGTCCATAGCTTTGAGTACTTTGTTGAAGATTTGGAATACCTAATCGGATCAAAATCTCTCGTGGAAAATACGAGGTGATTCCGTTGGGAGTAGCAAACTAGCCTCGCACGTCTGCTGTAGCGAGTTCAATCTTCAGGAGGTTGTTTAAATTTGCGACTTTGTGCTGAGTGAATTTTGATAGATCAGCATATTTTCCGTATTGCAATGAACGTCGTTCTTGACTTTCCATTTTTTTTTTTGTTTAATATATAAAATATGTAATAGAACTTGTTCTATACTTTGCACTCATGCCACGGTGATCGAACCCATGTGAAATAAACCAGGATTTAGAATGCTGATTTTCCAAGTTTGAATGTTGTTTTCCTTTGAAAGATCAGCGAAACAGCCTTCCTAATCCCTATTCTCTACTTATTTGATCTTGTGTCATTTAGGTGCTTAATACAAGGAGTGACGTTTATATATTTTGAGGAAATTTTCCGACCCGCTTCAGATTTTTTAAGACCAGATTTTTTATTAATTTCCTTCTTTTTTGACCTTTAAACGATTAAATGTCCAACCTCAGTTCTTAAGAACCCACTTTATTTTAGGCGCCCAAGAGTTGATACTATAAAATTGTACGAAATGAGATTCGTAACCTCACCAGCAGTAAATACCTTATTTTAAATTACACATTACATTTTTATACGTTGACTAGCAGCATGGCCCGGCGTTGCCCGTGCTTGATTCAAAAATCGTACGACTCATACAGCAATCGCTATCACTTGACTTAAAATATTTTTGCCCTTCTTGCCTTTAAAGGAGTGCCCTTTGTCGTGCTGATGTTGCTACATGCCTTACTTCTTGCCTATCTCACACTGCGAATTTTTTCTAAGCCCTATACTAAACATTAAATCTGTTACGAAAAAAGAACTAAACAAAATGAACACAAAACGATCAGTTTTAAAAAAGGACTCGTAACTGGAAAAACCGACTGAAAAAAGAATGTTAACAACAAATACTTTTTCACACCCAACCCAGTTCTGCGAAATCAGAATCAACGTTGAATTTAAGCAAGAGTAAAGTGCCATGCAGATTTAGATTTTTCCCCACTTGTGACGAATGCAGCTATCGATTTTTTTGCATGCTAGTTAACATTCGTGTCAGTCTACTGTTGGCTCTCACGCTGGCCAATAGAATCTTCCTGCCTATTCGTGTCAGCCAGCTATAGGCTCTCACTCTGGCCAGTACAAAATGACCGCAAACTACATGAAGTCTGTCATAGAAGTATGAAAAAATCGATTATTACCACTATCGATGGGAGTTGTGAAATGCAAAGTCAATCTTGGCCATCCCGCTAACTTAGAGCACGTGCATGTAAATTTTGGTGCAAATCCGTCGAAAATTGCTGCCGTGCATTCACACACACACACACACACACACACACACACACACACACATCCTGCCTTTTATAGATAGATATCTACTCAAAATCATGTTACTACTTGTTCAAACGAGATTATGTTTATTTGTGACAATATCACTTTTTTTCAGCAGTATTAAGATTTGTTCAAGTAACACTCATACAAATGATATCCTCTGAGAATGAAAAAGTTCTGATGTTCTTGAACGAGAGATTAATAATTGTTCATTATTATCATTCTTCAGTTCTACCGGAAGTTCAATTCTGACTTCAACGAAATCCAATCTGATCGAAGGCCAGGTTAAAAGTGCATCAAATGAGAATAGAAATTACTATAAATAAATTGCGAGACCGACACGATGACCACTGTATATTCTTTTTCTTCGTTTATGTGCCAAGTCATTTCAGGGCGTAAACGATTATGGCTCTCCACAACTTCCTCACTTTTGTTGCTCAAAATAATTTTAACTCTTTTTTTTGTCCATGTTCTATTATCCATTTATAAGTTTGTTGAGTAGGTTAATTGCTGCTTTCCTTGAATTAAATGTATTGTGAGTATTAAATTCTCTAGACCCACCTTCCTCATTATGTTTCCCAGAAATTTCAGCTCTCACTTTGTAACAATCTTTTACAATGACGTTTTCATCTCGATAGATTTTGTTTCAAATAACTGAAATAAAATTACCATTTTGAAACGAATAACAAATTGTAGTTAAGTAAATTAAAAAAAAACTACTTAAGAAATGGATTCTGAAATAGCTAATTAGCATAATAAAGTAAATGTAAGAATCTTCCGTCAAATGAAATGACCAAATGATCTTAAATTGTATTCTTGCCTGGAAATGTTTGCTTTGAATTAGAAAACTTTCATGGTATGATAAAAAAATGCTGAACCTGATGAAACATAAAAAAAAAATTTATCTGAGTTGGATTTTTGTCATTTAAATTTTAAAGTCTTTAATCTTGCTTTGTTTCTAGGAGTTGTAATCTTAAACTGTTTGAAGTTATTATTAGATGGAGCATTGTCATTACTAATTTTTTGTCAAGTTTCTCTTCATCTTATTTCTTGATCCACATCACAATGCTCAGGTCGTTTTTATACGACAGTTAAGCAAGCAATATAGATAAAGTATATATACATTACACTCCTATTCTTGTTTGACCAGAACAACACCTTGGCGATTAGACTATGAAAATTAGCCAGCAGACATCAGATTTATTCGTCTAGCTATGGTCTTCTTCATTCAACTTTATTCCACATCTACTACTACTACTACTAACATTATTAGTTCGGATATTTTAAAGATTATTACGTATATTACTATCAGTAGTTGTTGTCAAAAGTGCCGTAGGTGATACACTGAATTCAGAAAGTTAAGTCTTGTGTTTGTGCGAAAGAGCTCGAACATTCCATTATTTTCTGTTTGGGCTCGAAGTAGGGTGGGGGACATTTCCTTTCTTCGAGGTGGATTTGTTTTTGAAGTTAGCTTTATCTAACCTAAAATAGCAGGACCTACAAAGACAGCAGGGGATTTGCGTTTAGAATTTTCCTTCTCCGAGACTGGTTGCCAACCAAGGCTATAGGTCCCCAGTCTATGCTGCTATTTTCCCAATGCTGGGGGAGGGGAAGAGATGGATTTATACTTTTCCCAATTCCCGTAAGTGTATGCAATAAACTCAATTGGAATTCGAACTTGGCTCTTTGATTCCTCAATCCAAACCGCTATCTATGCTTCCCATCAGATTTAATTACCAATAGTTTTATTTCTTAAAGAACTGATAGTTTTACTATGACATGAACTGGAAATAATGAATAAGCTTCCAACAAGACTCGAACTCGCATTCCCGATACTTAAAAATCAACAAAATTAGATGAAAAAAAACTAATTAAATACAAATACTGATCAGGCTTGTTATCCGGAAATAACGCAAGAAACCAAATCAGTCCGCGTTTTAAATAGCTCGACAATACATTCACGAATCGTTTTAAGTTATTAAGCTAAATTAAGAGACAGGCGTGAAACACTGTTGACATGATAAAGTTATCGAACATTTTATGGAAAACGTGATCAGAGAGATTTCTAGTTTGCACGAATGCGTTTACCTCATAAAAATCACATTGTTTGAAAAATAAAAGGAAACAAAACAATGACGTTGGAAAGAGTGAGTACAAGGTATTAAAAAAAAATTCGATGAATTCGATAAAACTCAGACTACAAAGCTAACAAGTTACTAACAACATCTAAATTCTATTGGTAACAATGTGGCCTTGTGCTTGATTAAGCTGAGCTTATGAAATATCAATACAGACAACAACATAAATAATATATATTGAACGAACCAGTTTTTCGTTAAACTCTTAAAAATACCTTGATGCAACCAGTGTAATCACTCTCGTTGTATTTCCTTCTTGATAAAATTTCCTCTCTTTTGACGGAACCACTGGTCTTGGGGTCAGGGCGTAAATAACTCCATAGAGTCTTGAACGGAAGGCACATTTTTCGTCTGTTCGGTAGTAGGGTGCCATTCTTGATGACATCCATTGAAAACAATTATAGTCGATCGAAATGAGAAATTAATCAGATGAGACGGCTCAGTTTTCGGCATCCCGTTTGTTTTCTTTTTTATGGTGACATTGGTCGCGGGAGTTGGCTCAGAAGTCACATGGCCATTCAGTCAGTCATTTAAATGATTTAACCTTATAATCGGATTTCTTTGATCCTTCTCGCAATAAACAAATGAACAATCGTCCTGTGAAATTTCACCGTTTAATATTGTTAGTTTTTACAGAAATATTAGAGAAAATTGGCATCTCTCGTGCGCTGTAGTTTAGTTCAGAAAAACTGTAAATATCTTAATGCAAAAATCCAGAAAGAAAAGGTGTTGATTATTATTAAGCATTTTCCCCCCCTTTTTTTTTTTAGTATAATTTACATTACAATGATTGAAGACTCGGGAAACTTTATTCAGTTATCATCAGGTGATATATCATGTAGCCAGTTCGAAGTTTTCGAACACATGCTGTAAATTAATAATCACATTTCCACAAACAAGCAAATGAATTAAGTTCATTGTTTCATAATTAATCTAAACTTTTTCAGTTTGTTTTGAAATGGTATTATGAATAAAAATAAACAGAAGAAAGTCGAACAAACACGTGGTCGATGAAAAAAGGAATGGCTGAAAAAATATTACCGTGAAAGTTAGGAAATTTCATCAAAAGTTAGAGGTTAACGAACAAAAGCGAGTGCGTAGATGTTTGCGTTATTTTGCCAATCATTTTTCCTTTCTGCGTGTGGTTTGTTTCGAGTATGACGGCTAAATCCGCAGATAGTTAAAATTCCGACTCGGCGCAGAAGAAAATTAAAGACCACGTGACTTTGTTTGTATGCGCACACGCATCACGCGTCCATCTGAATGTTGCCATGATTTGATTATGTCGGTAAAAGATATTTTTCTACGTGATTCTGTGTATTAGGGACCTTAATAAAGTCAACTCGAAAGGGGTTACGATTGCACGTTCTTATGACTGAGATGTGTGTGAGAATTGTAAATAGATAAAATATAAAAATATATATATATTTTATACGTCAGTGTAGTTCACTAAGGTGATTCATCGACGATGCTAGCCAACGTGCTAAGTGTATGTGAACACACGTCGGCCGAGTAGATTGTATACACACGTGTGCCTTCTGGCTGACTGGAGGACGGACAGAGAGAGGTGGAAGCTGCTGCTATCACTCCTGTTGTTGTTTATGACACGAAGATGAGAGAGAAAGAGGAGAGAGAGAGAGAGAGAGAAGACAAGACGAGAAGGATTGGGAGAGGCAACTAGAAAAGAAGCAAGCATCGAAAAGAGTGAATGGGAACAACAAAAAAGGTAGGGTAAGAAAGATTGAATAGCAAAATTGTATAGGTTTAGTCACAGACATTCCTGTTTTATTACAGTCATTTATTTTATCTGTTTAAATAAACAAATTTTTATTTAAATTATCATTTTCTGTTCTTATTCTTTGGTTCGGTATTTTACACAAGTTATCTTTAATAAACATTTGTCTGGTATAAAGACGATGAAGTCCAGGGCACAACTTTGGTCTGGCAACAAAAGCGTAAGTAACCGGCATATTTATGAAGTGTGCAAAATGACTGACTGCGCATGTTATTTACAATACAAATGTGTGCGTGTGTGCATACAACCTTTACGTAACGCATTATTAATATATAGCAGTTTTTTA